CAAGAGTGCCGCGTCAGAGGACACCTCAGTTCTTGTTTCACCTCCGTCCACTGGTTCTTGGGCTGGCTCTTCTCCAGATGTTTCATTTTGTCTGAAGTCTGGTCACTGTCAAGAATTCGGAGGGTACTTTCCTAGTACTTCAGTTTTTTTATTATAAATATTTCAGGCATTTAACAAGTATCACCACTTGACCTAATACGTGAAATAGTTTAGTGCTGTACCCACATACCACCCCTTGTCCCCATTACTTCTCTCATTGTCCAGAGAGGATCTTCATCCTGAATTTGCTCTTTATCATTATATATGTTTTTTTAAACTTTAACTCTATGGATGTGTATGTCCATAAACAGTATCTAGTTTGTTTTGCATGTTTTAAACTCATATACATGGTGTCACATTATACACATTCTTCCTCTCTCTGTCTTTTTCATATTTCTTCACTCTTTATTCACTCTCAGACCTCTCCTGATTCTCAGTTTTGGCCTAAGGGCTGCCCAGTTCAGCTCATTTGCAGAGTTGAGACACTCGTTGATTCCTGAGCTTAGCGAAAGGTTGACTCTACCTTCTCTGGCTTTGCTTATCTAATTCCTAAACTTTGTCTTAAAACTTAGATTTGCATTTCTCCTTTGTCCTCTCCGCAACGCAAAGTAACTTTACAAATTCTTACCAATTATAGATTTACCACAGAGGAACAGTTTCTCATATGTTCATTTCCTGGACAGAATAGTCATCTACCAACAGTAATGGAAACGTTTATTCTCTCTCAGATACTACCACCAGTGTCGGCATAATCTCTAAGCACCTCACAGCAAGTTTCTCAGTTACCTATAAAGAAATTATATCTGTATTTTTCCCGTAAACAGAATGACAGAATGAGCCCTTTTTTTCCCAGGAAATGGCTGAAAAGGGCACATCTTTTCATTTTCGTTATTTTGTTTCCCAAAGAATAAACATTCATTTTCTGGCAGAATGGTCTATGTAACAAGAATGCCCCAAGTTCTCATCGCTTTTAGCTTTGTGACCTTGGGCAAGTCATTACCTCTCTGGGTCTTCTGTTTTGTTTTGTTTTGTTTTGTTTTGTTCTTTTCTTGTTTGTTTGTAAAGGAAGAGAACTGGGTGAGGTGACTGTCAAAGGCTTCCTGCTCAGAAATTTTGACTCAGTCTCTGAGGAACTGACACATCTCAAAGAACTGGGAGAAGGGTATCATTTCTGTCTTTCAAAAGCCAAAATTACTTCCAGATTATAGAACATTCATTATGGTAATGAATGGGTATTACAGTAAAGATTAATGTATTTCATTATCTAATCTCTAGGTAACCAAAATAGGTCAGGCTTAGACTTCATCTTATTTTAATGCAGCCTCACGTGGCCGGGATATTTGCAGCTCTAGAAGTCAGCTAAGGACTTTGGGCCAGTCTTTTGTTTTTTTTTAATGAGTTTTATTTCATTTGTTGGTTTAAATTGCAGTGGTGGCCTTCAGGGGCCTGAGTCAGGATGCACCCAGGTTCTCTGACACCCTCTCTTCCCGTTAGGCCACCTGGCTCACATTTGCCCGGGGGGACTCCTCTCTCGCAAAGTGCAGACACAGTAAGGCGTAGCTGCCTCGTCTGGAAGGGCAGGTAGGGGGACGCGAACTGCTGCAGAACAAGCACTCCGTCTTCCTTAGACCAGGCCGCCCACGTTATTCGGACTCAGCACCCTGGTTTTCTTGCTGTCCCTTGAAAGGGGCGTGGCAAAAGGTTTCAGGCTTTTTTGAATGGTTGACTTAAATGGCAAAGTGTAGTGAAGGTATAAAGTCTCTGAGGTTGGCATAGCACTGGATCCAGAGCCCTCATATACAGGTAGTTAGTCCGGCCAGGTGCCTTTGGAGCCGAAGGCTCAGGCACACGGATGGCCTCAGATGCTGAGACTATAGAGAAGTGCGGGTCTCGCCTGGTTTCTTCCCTGCCACACAGTTCCAGGTCAGATTGCCCATGATTGTTAGTAGAAAAAAATAAGCAATCTATATAAAAAAGCAAGAGGAAGAGGCTATACCCCCGGCGTGCCTGAGTGCTGGAGTGCATGATTGTAGGCTGCTTCTCTCCTTTTTATGTTTCCCTGATTTTAAACAATGTGCATGCATTACTCATAAAATACAATTTTTTTTAAAGTACGTGTTATATTTTTTCGTAAAACTGCCACTGTGCCTCAGGTGGGAAGTTCAGAACCCTTTACATGGCATATAAAGGTCCTCAAAATTCGGCCACAGTCCCAGTGGTCTTTAGCCCCAGTGAACTGCACCCCACTCCTGTTACAATGTAAAATATCTTTGCATCCTATGATAATGTCACTTAAGCATTGATTAAATGATGGTGGTACTTGTACTAGTGCTGAAACTAGCACATGAAAATACATAAGTTTGGAACAGACATGGTGAAGAAGGTCAAACCACCCCCATGATACTCTGTGTTAATTTAGGAGTAAGCATTGTAAACTGCTGGGGATCATGCTTAGGAAATAAAATGGAGCAATAAATAAAAATGCGCTACAGGGATACAGATCTGTGCCTCCCGAGGATGCATTTACTCCTACGGAGAAATTGATTTTGAATTTTACATACATTGAATTATTTAAAGCCTTCAGGAACACATCCCTTGCATAAAGTGCAGTAACTTTGTTCTTGAGATTAATTTTTTTGTAATTAAAATGATCATATACCGGTGTTTAAATCTCACTTTAAAACACATTGGGACAAAAATAATGTCTTTATCTTTAAAGTGTAGAATATGAATGACTTATTAATAGGCCTGACCAATTACTTTATAACTAGCTTAGTAACTTTAAGCCATTCTTTTCATGATAGTTGTAATGGTTTCTAGGTTTAATGCTGTATATCCAGCATCTTAGGGACACCTAGGACAAACATTTGACGTTCCAGAACTGAATGTTAGAATGAGAAAGAATCCTTAGAGATCGTTTAACACAGAGAGAAACAGGTGGATAGAGAGGGCAGCTAAGGGATTGGCTCAGGGTCACACAGCATTTCAAGAAACTGCATCGTTATATTTTTATCGTTACATGTATTAAACCTTTCCCACCATGATAATAAGCTGGAGTGGGGATATGTTGATACAGGGTAAGAGTGGGAATACCTATTTTTCTTTTCAAAAAAAAAAATCTCTGTAGGTTTTTTCCCTGCTCAAGACTTTTAGGATACATAGTCTTGTCATTAGACTTTTTCCATGAGTCCCTAATACCAGTGGAAACAGGCTCCTGCATGCATTAGAAAGGACACGATCCTAGCGGCACATCAGATTCCGATGGAATTGTTCCTCACGGAGCGTTTCTTCTTTTCAAGATAACGCGTACGGAAAAACGTTACGGCAGCACCACGGCTGGGTGGTTCGAGGGGTTTTTGCGGTAAGTCATCCTTCCGCCTCCTACTGTTCTGGAGTCACAGGGTGGTTCTGCTTTGTGTGTGCGGTGTTTCCCTTTGCTCTGTTTTCGAGAATAAGAACAAAAATGTTGCTTGTTAATTTAAGTCTGTGGGTGTTTGTTGTGTGGAAATGTTGGCAACAAAAACACCCGAAGTTAATATAATACTGAATGTCAACTGTAATTGAAAACTCAATTTTAAAAAGTGTCTAGAACAGAAAAGGCTGATGAAGGGGGCGCTTTACCCTGTCCGGCCCCAGTGCCCTTGTGGAGATTTGCCTCGGAAGCGCTCGCCTTTCCCATAAGGTAGTGAAGAGTATCGATCGGATTGGGCAGGAAGCCGCCAGGTCCGTTGAGGGCCACACAGCGCTGCCCTCGAGCTCGTGGCTCCCCCTGCTGCCTGTTGTGTTCCATTTTGTTACTTCTCAGATTCTGATTTATTTTTCCTTACTTGAATTTCATCTTTGACTATTAATTGAATTGTGTGTGCCAGCGGCTAGGGCTACAATTCTCTTCTCACCTGGTTATTTTCATTGTGGAGGTGTCCGTACTCATCTGTTTGTCTCCTGATACCCAATACTTCCTCCCCAGCATGTTGACTTAGGAAGAACACACGCCTGGGGATCACAGTCCCCTGGACAGATCATGTAGCCTGCTTCATAAAATAGCAGGAGTAGGTGGCCCCTTTATGTCAGGAGTGATATGTGCTCTGTGATTCTCCCATCCGGGGAGAGGGCGGCCTCAGTCACTTGCAGCCATAACAAGGCGAGTCTCGTGTAGTGGCGCACCAGGAAACGTCAGAATTCTTTGGAAGGTCGGGGGATAAAAGTAGCCATGCAGATGATGGTTTTTTTTACTAATTTAAAGGACAGGAGGCATCATCTGCCAAGGTAAGAACTGTTTAGGTCATGATTGATTAGGAGGCAGGTAAAGAAAGTGGGAAGAATTTACAGTGGAAGAAATCAAATTTAGGGAAAATGAAATCCTTTCTGAAAGCGTGGGGATGACTAGCTCCATGTCCTGCTGTCTGCCGGACTAGAAGCCAGACCAGTGGCAGCTACGGGCTGCCCACACTTACCTTCAGTGCATGTTTAAGTCATGACAAGAGCTGCCATGTGGCTGCTGGACAGACGCGTGTTGTGCCAGGTGCTTCCATGTTTATCATCTTTGGTAATCCTCGGGATTAACTCCCACTACTTTATAAATTCAGAATTATTCATTCCAGTCCCAGAGTGCGGCTACGGCAGAGCCCAGGGCTAAACCCAGATCGCTGTCTCCAAAGGCTAGTGCTCATTACCCACATTGCAGCTCTCTGCAGTGACGATGGAGTAATTGAGAAGCTGCTAGTGAATAATTAGTCAGTGGATGCTGCTACGTTCATCAGCCTCCCTGAGTAAATACTGTGATTGCTTGCAGGTGTCTGACACCCGCGTTTCCTTGGTGAGATGACAAAGCATAAAAACACTGAGTTCCTCATTGTATGAGAAATGTGAATGGTTTTTTTCTTTCCTAGTATGGAAGGTAAAGTTTTCTCCTGAAATATTAATAATTCAAGAGATATTGACAATAGGAATGCAGCCATAGCAGAAAATTTATCATAAGCATGAGTGTTTAAAAGGACTTTATAACTAAAAGCATTTCCCCCTAATATATAGTAATTTAGACATATCATAAAACATCGTAGAAATTATGGAAGACCAGAAAGGGGAAAAAATTTAAATTGTCCATATTCTCATCACTCCATAATAACCATTTTTAATATTTTTGTGTTTTACCTTCTCAACTTTTATTCTTATATCCTGTTACATGTTCTTTTAAATATCGTTCTATTTAATTTTATATATTTATCTACATATCTACTTAACACATGTTTATACTTACATCTACATGTTTATATTGTTTGTGTATAGTTATCTTTATTTTGTATACTTGCTCTATATATGCATATAAATTTTTTGACATTTAGCTCGTAGTGTAATTTTATATCTTCCCCCTACATGCACACTCAATAGATTGTCTCATGACCATTTTTAAATACCGTAAGAGTCTTTGAAAATCATTATTTTTAGTGACCGCATAATATTTCTCTAGTATGGAGGTACTATAGTTTATTTGTCCAATTCTCTCTGTTGGAAATTTAAGCGGGTTCGGAGTTTGTTATTACAAATAAAACAGTATCCGTTCATATGCATTTTTTACTAAAACTCTTATTTCCTCAAAATAGGTTCCTAGAAGTAGAATTGCCATGTCTCATACCAGTAACTACAACCACAATTTAGAATTTTGAGCACTTACCTTACATTAAACATTGCTTTAAGTGTTTTACACATGTAAAGTTATTAATTTCCTCCCTCTGAGGTAAGTTCTCTTATTTTCCCTACTTACAGGCAAAGAAACCGAGATACAAAGAGATGAGATATTACACTCAAAGTTATAGAGTAAGAACATTTGGAAGACTCATGATGTTATTGCCAGTAATTTTTAAAGTTGCTGGTTTTAAAGAAAATAGATTGTATCAAGCATTTGGCAATAGCTTCCTCAGTAGAGGAGCTGGGTCGGCCCTTTTGGCCTCTCTACTGTTATTCTTCACGTTATTCTTACTTTGGAACGTTTATTGAGTTTCCCAACGGGCTAATTAATAAGCAGGGGCAAATTCGTTTAACTGATCACACTTGCTCAGGGAGATATCTTTACACTCAAGGTATTTAACTCATTCTCCAGCCAAATAGTGAACTTTTATCTTTGAACAGTTATAACTTGTGAAACCAATGCCCACTCCAGGCTCTGTCTGTAACGTGGCCACCAGCTGCCCTTCACATGACCTTTTGGTTCTCTCTTCAGTCGAGTTCTATCGTTGTTTCCCAAATAGACTTGGCCGTATCACAGTCTTCTGTGATGAACCTTTGAGAAATTCCTTGGGCCTCACTCTGATAAAACGTTAAAAAAAAAAAAAAAAAAAATTATTTTACTTAAAAATATGTGAATAGTGTTCAGTTTTGTTTTTTACCAAAAAGTCCAGAGAGGTTATAACAAAAACTTGCAGTCCCTGCCTTCTGCTCCCCACTTCCCAGACTCACTCCAAAGAAGCCACTTTCAAATACTGGCTGTTTCTTCCAATTCCTCCATAATTCTAAGAATGTCTGTTGTTCTTTGTGGCCTTATCCATCATAGATTAGAATTGACCTCTCTAAGACCTCACTAGCACAGCCTCACCTCCCAGTGTAATGATGTCACAAGTTAACATGACGAGATGAGCCAAACTTCTATGGTCTTTTTTTGTTGTTGTTCTTATATGTTTTATATTCTTTCCTGCACCATCAGATCCTTCAAATCACCACCACTCTCAACTCACAAATGTATCAGAGTATATGTTGTTGTTTTTTCTTGGAGACTTCCCCTTCAGAACTTTCTAAACTCTTATTCCAATCTGAATTAGTTGTTCAGGCCTGTTGCATGCTATTGACCTAGGACTATTCTTCACCAGTTTTCCTATGTTAAATCTCTACCTCAATCTAATTTTATTTCCTAGGTCCTGTAACTTTCTGTCTCTTGATCTAATCCGTCACTTTTGTCATGTCCATCCTCCAGTAGCTTCCTGAGAAAGGGCACGAGGGAGCTAAATTTTTGAGTGCTTTCGTACCTAAAAACATCTTTATTCTGCTCTTTTTTTCTAGAGTGATGCTTTGGCTGGTATAAAGTTCTAGGTTAATAATAATTTTCTCTCAGAATTTTGAAAGCATACCTCTATTGTCCTCCAGCTTCTTTTGTTACTGTTATAAAATTTAATGTCATTCTAATTTCTGTTCCATTTTATATAAACTCCTCCCTATCCTCTTATGGATACTTTTAGGATCTTTTCCTTTTCCCCTTTTGGTTTCGATCATTCATTATGCTAAGCACTTGGGTGGGTATTTAAATCAGGAGACTCATACCCTTCAGTTTGGGGAGATTTTCTCACATTATAATTTCGAATAATTGCCTTCCCTTCATTCTCTGCTCTCCCCCTTGTGCTCCTACCATTATTTGAGTATTATTTTGTGCCAGGCTGTGGGTGAAATACATCATATATATCCCATTAACCCTTCAGATAAGGAGAGTGGTATCAGTTCTCTTCTACAGGTGAGGAAACTGGGGTTCTGGGAGATTAACACTTTGTGATCCGTGAAAGTTTTGGGATTCAGGTCGCGTGGTCTTCTTCATCCAAGCCTGTGCATGGTAAATGCCAGTTGCTCTCCAGCTGCAAAAAGGGGGCGGGTTGATTCTCAAAGACCTTCAAATTCGAAGTATAAGGGAGCTCAGGAAAGCAGCTGTAGAATGATAATTCAGGATTCCAGAAAGTCTCCAGAGATCTCAGCAGAGCCAACCCAGCAGATGCCAGACAACTGATTTTAGCAAGCTTAGGGAATGTGGGTCTGCAGAGGGGAGGGGGCTGTAAGGAGCCTAGGAAATCGCCTGTCTCGAGAGTGGAACAGTGTGGTTTGGTGCCTGAAAAAGCAGAGACGATCATCTGTGAACTGGGGTATAAACCGTACAGGGTTTTCATGAAGATCAACTGGGATAAAATACACTGTTAAAACGTCAGTGCACAAAAAATGTTAGTTCCCTTCAATTTTAGGAAAAGTTCAATCAGGAGTGCAAAGGAAATATTATCCATGTGGGAGGAAATAGGAATTATGCAAAGGAGCGTACGCATAAAGATGAGACACAGACAGGAGGGAGACCCACGGGAGGCTGGCCACGTGGGACAGGCTGTGGTGGCCACGTGCATTCAGGAAGATTCCGAGGGGTCAAGGAGCATAGTCTGCATCACACCGAGAATGAGAAGGGCGCTTTCCTCACATGCTTTTTCTCTCAACATTTCCTGACTCGATGGCATTATAAGTAAATACTTGCTGCCTCTAGCCATAAAATTATTTTATTTGGTGCTTGAAAAAAATTTTTTGAGTCCACTAATTGGAAGGGTATATTCCTGGTTTTTTACTCTTGCTCTCCTCAGCTGCATGTGTGCGTGTGTGCGCGCGTGTGTGCGTGTGTGTGCGTGTGCACGCACGCCCTCGTGAATACGAGTAAAGTGTGGGAGAGATTGAGGCGTCATGCACACTCTCATGGGCAGTTCTTTTGCAGTTAGCTCTGAGGGCAGCTCCGTCCTATGAAGATTTTGTGGCGGCGTTAACCATAAAGGAAGGAGACCACCAGAAAGCAGCTTTCAGTGTCGGCATGCAGAGGGACCTCAGCCTGTACCTCCCTGCCATGGAGAAGCAGCTGGCCATCCTGGACACCTTGTACGAGGTCCACGGACTGGAGTCGGATGAGGTGGTGTGACGGCCGCGGGGCAGCGCCGCCTCCTCACTCTGGGGCGTGGAGTTTGCCGACGTGTTTTGTTGCTCTGCTTACTTTCCAGCAGCAGCTTCGCCCTCTCCAGCCCCTCGGGGGCGTGGGGCAGTGGAGACGAAGCCTAGAGCTTTTATATATAATTTTTTTAAATGCATATGTGTTCTGTGTGTTTAAAAATCAAGGTGCTATATATTTTCAGTTCAAAGGGCCTCTTGGAAACCAAATCATAGCTGTTATATAGACTTGAACGGCGAGTTACAAGAGCAGATTTGACATTTTGTTGGTACTGTGTTTTGTTTTGAACTTTGAGTTTTAATGGGCCACCCAAACCCAAGCTGTAAATGAACAAATTCTGAATCAAGGACTGTAACTCATAGCCAGGGTTTCAATCAACTTAGACTAAAAATTTGGAGGGAGCTGTGCCCCGTTGTTAAAGCTGTTGAAATACAGAGTTTTCTATCCCTAGACATCTCCAGAGAATCCTCCCCTCCGTGACTGTGTGGCCAGTAGGAGTCCATGTCGTCAAGGTACTCAGGGCATTGGCGTGACCATGTCAGCGTGGGAGGTAGGTGACACAAAGAAGAAATGCCATCACTATTTACAGGTGGACAGACCGTGGCTCCGAAGAGATGGTGGTGTGAACTCACTCCAGCATCAGGGACAGTGTGGGAGAGGTGGGACATGTCACCCGCAATGACCCCGTCATAGTGCCCACCTGTGCCAGCAAGCTTTCCTGTGCATGTTCTCATTCAGATATCATACCAAAACTGTGACATTCAGGGATTACCACCCAATTTCAGAAGTAAGGATTAGAGGTTGAGGGATTTGCTCGCAGTCATACAGCATCTAAGTGGAGGAACCAGGTGATTCCTCAGTGACCTGGACCACCTCTGCATCACAATCACACGGAGTACTTCTGCAGAAAGCAGACCCCCAGGCCTCTCCCTGCCCTGTAGCGCTGGAACCTGGGGCTAGGACTCAGGACTCTGCATTTGAATAGACTTTTCAAGTGATTCTTGTACACACATGGTCGAAGAACCATGAGGTTAAATTCTAGTTTACAGAATTCCCAGTCTTCTCCATGAATTAAATGATGTGTCCTTTTTTCCAAGAGGAAGAGACTGTTGTTGAAATAAAATAGTTAAAGGGAGAGTGAGTGAGAAGTGGACCGAGGTTACTCAGCAGCTTTCTGATGGCGGCAGCGGCGGCCTGCAGGCCTTGGCGGTGCGTTCGGGGACCGTGGCTATGAGCGAGCGCTCCCGTCAGTCTCGGTGTGTCCACCATCGTGCAGAGCGAGCTAAATGCAACTGCTTATCAACTTCAGAAGCTGTGGAACTGTCATTCATTCTTTCCTAAAACAACCTTGTGTGGGCATTCTCTCGAAAAGAGCGACACTCAGACTGTGGCCCCAGTCTCTCAGTAGGCCAAGCTGCCAAGAGTGTGTGTGGGAGAGAAGCCCGTTAGCGACCACTTGTCGATAGTAGCTGGAAGAGAAGTTCCAGTGTGAGGTTTCCCAGGGACGAGGGTGCATCCCTTTGAGGGGCACAGGTGAATGCTACCTGGGCAGCGCCAGGTGATGCTGTTCCTAGAGCAAAGAGAACCACCCCCCTCCCGCCCCGCTTAGGCAGAGAGGTTATGGAGGGAGGGATACTGATTTTGTGTTGGGTGTCTTTGAACAAATGGGCATTTATTTAGCTCAAATTAATGATGCAGTTCCTCTACTCACATGAGGATGTCTGGAAAAGGCTTAAACTTAGAAAAGCAGCATCAGATGTTTAAGGCTGGATGCTAAAATGATGGTGATTCTTTTGTATTTTAGCACTTCCTGTTGGCAGCTGCCAAGGCAGGTGTGTGGTCCTCCCTGTCCCCACAAGTGATCAGTGTGACTCTCCCTCTAGCTGGTGTGAATACGAGGGTGGAACTAGGGAATAATTTAGAATTCCTGCCCTTGACGCAGCCTCCTAAAAGGGAAAAAGAAAAAACAGCCAATCTACTCTCACCTTGAATGAAGACACTTTTAGGCGCTGTGCCCTTGGGAAGGGGTGCTCCCAGAGGTTATAAGTGCAGTGAAGCTTGACCGTTCCAATGGGCTGCTAGTGTTCCCTGTCACCTCAGGTGAACTCGTGTGGTCTCTTGGAGCGGGGGTGGGCACGCTGAGGATACCTCAGATTTGTCCTTGATACTCAGAACACACACAAAAAGCACGCAGCTCGGCGTGGCCGCTTGGCACGTATACAGGCATTGCCTTGGTGTGCAGGACTCAACTCCTGGGGAAGAACGCTGTAATATATAAATATGCTGGGATCTTTGGGAACCCAGATCAGAATAGCTAGAATAATGAATGAGTTGCATTTTCTACGCAGCCTTTTCCCAGACATTACCCTGTAGGATGGGTCTGATGTTTTTTGATAGGTATTTTCCTCACTGGAGCATATTAAGTTTGCCTATGATGTGTCACATTTGGAGAGTCCTTCAATAAAAATACCTAGAAGTTGAACCTAAGGCCAGACGATCATTTTACCTTGACCTAAAGCTTGGCACAGGCAGAGCTTCCTCCTGAATCTACAGTATTTGCTTCTCCATTTTAGTTAAAGTCCTAATTTGTGCTGATTTGCATTTACTGTCCAAGAAGAGAACAAAGAGAAAAGATTGTTCAGGCTTTCTCCCCACAAACCTCCAAGACTTCAGGAAACCGAAGCTTGCTTTCACTCGGACGATGAGAGGAGAAAATGCTGTTGTGTTTGTTGGCACAGCAGTCACCTTGCTCTCATTGCTCAGACATATTTAGGATCCCTTTTCAAGAGTAACTGTTAGATCCTGAAGAAAAAGGTAATGTGTCTTCTGGGTATCAGGAGAAGCTAGTAAGTAACATCGGATGATGCCTCACAGCCCCTCCGCACCCACCGTTTCATCTTCCACAGCCGAAGCCAGGCTTTCCACTCAAGAGGGATCGATGTGTGTTTGTCTAACTGAACAAAATCCTTTCAATGCTGGCAATTTTTCTGTCCTTTGAAAGCAAATTTGACTTCTGCTAGGTAATCCTGGTGAAACTGTGAAGTTGGAGAGATACCTTTTGGGGGCGAAACCAGCTTGTGGCTGTGAAGTGGGTGTGGTTTTCTCGCCAGCTCCGCAGGGAGCTTTAGAAGTGGGACTCGGCATGGCGAGCGTGTCGGTGCCGGGCGATTGACTTTGAAAGGTGGTGCTCATCAGCTGTGGGGTAGCGGCTTGAGGCACCTTGTCGTCGTTTGTGTGCCATTGTGAACATAAAGCTTCCCCACCGGTCACATTTCGTGAGGGCTCTCTGAGCTTCTCTCCTCTCCTCTGTCACTAGAGATTGCCACCGGGGTCCCCATCCGAACACCAACCACACAGCCCTCTTTTAGCGGTTCTGCCCTGTTCAGCAGTACCTCCGGGCACAAGTGCAGCATCTGGCACAGACCTAACCCAGGGTTAGGGGGTTCGGTTCCCCTCCCAGACCGCAAGAGCTTCCTAACCCCTCTTTCCATTTGTAGCTGTGAAGCAGGTGATCACCATGATGTGTCGCATCTAGGAAGGGCGATCTGATATTGAATGAGTGGGGCTGGAAAGTTTTGCAGTCTTCTCTTTTTCGATTATTAATTGCATTTTTGTATATATCCAAAAAGTTAATGCTTTCACCTTTATATTTTCAGAAAAGTGTTTTTAATTAAAAAAAAAAATGTGGTAGGGACCAACACTTTTCTTTATTCAATTTGAAATAAGTAGAGGAGCTGAAGTGGGAGGTATCTTATTAAGGAAACTTAATCCGACTGTGAAAATCGTATATGAAGAAATACTTCAGGCAGTCGAGAGCGTCAGAGGGTCCTGAGCAGTATAAAATGATGTGAGACATTTGGGAAACTTTCTGGAGGAAACTTATTTTTATGGATTTTTTTTTCTCACTAATCTACCACATCCTGCAAGAAGCTGGTTACATAATGGTGCATTTCTGAATCACTGATTAAAATCAGCCGCTTCTGATCTTAGTCATAGGTTTTACAACTCTTCGGCTTCCCCACCCTCGTGTTTCGGTTTTTTTAGGTGAACTTCCAACCTTTTTTACATTTTCAGATTTAGAATTTATAAGTGAAATAAATATATTTTAAGCTGTTGTTCTGTTAGCTGAGCTGCTGTGTTTGGTCGTCAAGGGCCCGGCCCGGGCTGCTCTGATCTGGTACAGTCCGCGTGCGGGCTGGTGCGTGCGGTAACCCTGTGCTCCTGTGACGTGTGTGAGAACTGCGTTCTGCTTCTGGGTGTCCCTTTGTAATCCGCAGTCGCTTACTCAGGGGTTTCATAATAATGACATAAAATATTCACTAGCCGTCTAATGGCATTTTAAGATTGCTTATCTATTGTAAGGTTGTTAGGAGTCCTGTCACCAATCCCGTGAACTGTCTCTGAAAGCGTTCCCACTTCCCACCCTGTTGCAGCCAGTAGTCCTGTGTACAGAGGCCGTTTGCATGATTTCTTCTTGCACTGCTGCATTAAGGCACTCCAGGCCATGATTAAGCGATTATCGACGGTACAGTTGACGCATGCATTGATCTTTCTCCTCTTCTGTTTTTATATAGCCTTTCATTAAAAGGAAAATACATACCACGATGTAATGCAAACGTTTTCAAAATTCTTCGGTTACCTTTTTAATTACTTCTCTTTCAGAGCAAACAAATGTTTTCAGCTAAGCTATGTGAGTACACAAGAAAGAGATTCTGCTCGTTTTAAGCATCATCCTTTCTATTACGTATATTATAAAGTGTGGTCAATATTTCCTCCCTGTACTTTATAAATAGAAACCACCCTGGAATGGTTGGTACCCCTTGCAAAGCTGAGCTAATTTGCAGAGACTCCTGTTTTTGTGTCTCTTTATAGATGTACATGGAGTCAGTGATGACAAGAAGGGTTATCTAGAAGTCATTTCTGTTGCATCCCGGAGGGCTCATGAGCCAGTCTCATGGCACGTTTGATGTATGAGTCCCCTGTGTCACGACAGTTTCACTAGAATGTCAGTAAACAACCCGACTACCTCATGTGAAATTGGCTGTGAACAACCTGTGTCGTACGAGACGTGTGTTAAAGCCGATGTAATCTGGTTAATAGATTGGACAAAATGATGTCTCTCTAAAGAAGAAACACATTAGACCAGATGCCAAAGGCTACAGCGTACATCGATTTCCCTGGATTTGTTTTTTATGTCAATGTTTAATTCTACCCCAGTATTCTTATCTTGAATGTGGTTTCATAGATCCATGCACTTTGAATATCTGTCACGCTCAGTCTTATGTTACCTGTTCTTGTCCTTCAGCATTTTGATTGAGCATCATAATGACAATAGAAAGCAAGTATCAAGTTGATACTTTGTTGATTTCTTAATCATAATGGACCTTTACTTAGAGTATAATGTGTTGGAGCCTTTTAGGACCAGCCAATGAATGAGGATTTCACGTGTAGGTTAAATGTACAACTCTGTCCAAGTTCTTACTCTGTATCTTGTGGGGAGGGGGAACAAGGGAGGGTTTTACTTTTTTTGCAAAAATGTTTGAAAACATCTGTCAGATTTTATATTCATTAGTTATAATAAACTTATTTTTAAAGTATTTTATCAAGTGCTTCTCTTAAAGATATTTGTATGGTTTCTTAGGATAAATAAGGACAGATCACAGAAGCTTTACTTCCTAAAGCCTAAAGCCTAACAAATGAACTACCAAAAAGAATAAAAATTTGAAAAGTAAAAACCACTTAAGTTCGCCAGCAGTGAAGCATGGGAAGGAGCCCAACCTTGAGCTTTAAGCCTCAAAAGACGACTGCCGAAGAAAAGACCAGAAAAGCCCAGATTCTCTGGCGAGAATAAGAAGAGCTCTGAATCCTGCCCCGTTGAGGGGGGATTTGCAAAATCCGGAATTCTCATCAGCATCTCAGATTTTATTAAGTTGATTCAACAGTCGGGCAAGATGGGCAGCCTTAGTCTTCCTCTGCGGGGGGCCGGCACAGTATATCCGCACATGTGCTTTAGAAGAGGGGGCGTCGCTGGGGAGGGATGGGTGAACCGAGGGACGGGAACAAACTGCTCATCCACGAATTAAGAGAAACACCAACGTGCCAAGGATCTTCCCCCCACGATATGGTAGATATGTCTCCCCTCCGTCTGGAATTCAACCCGGTGCAGCACTTAATACACGTGTCAGAAGACAGAGCAGGGTCCAGTTCCTCTAACAAAAGCCTGTATACACAGCCCCTCCTCCCTCCCCATGCAGACGCAGACAAGCCCGGCTCAGGTTTGGCTGGTGTTAGCTATTAAAATATCAAAATACTTCTGTACTAGGAGGTAAATAACCAATATCTGAAGGGTCTAATGCTGCTCTGCCCGCTCCCCAGCCTCTGTCGCAGCCCCTCCTAACTTCAGACCACTCCACAATCCAGCAACTAAAGGACTAACGTGGCCCCACGAGGAACCTTCGAAGCCCTGCCCCAAAGCTGTGGCCCACCTTTGTTCTGCCTGTTCGGTGTCTGTGTCATGCTGCTGATTAAGTATGTTTCATATCATCCATGACAGGAAGTATACAGAGCACAAAGAGAAGTAGTTGTCACATAAGACGGCAAACGTGCCAGGGAGAGCACGCCAACTCCACTTCAAAGCAAATAAATGGTCGGGTTGGGGTTGTCCACCTTAAACATGAGCAAATTTAAATAAAGTCGCCTGGCAGCTATGTAAATACTCCACAGCCAGTGGAGTATTTACAAAGGGGGTACAGTGGGGAAGAGATGAAACCAACTGGGAAAGAAAGCTGGTCTAAGAAACAAAACTCCTGTAGGGGTATTGTGTTCTCAGAGAACTTCAAAAGAACATGACTTCAATTAAACAAGAGCTCATGTGAGCTGATCAAATAGTGGAATGAGGTTTTAAAAAGGCAGTTAAGGAAACGACCAAGATGACACTATTTTAGAACAAATAAATGAATTAGAGCCAAAAAAAAGGTTGAAAAACAATTTATAACAAAAGAAAAAGCTTGAGATGACAGCAAAGTGAAGAATTAAAAAACAAACAAACAAACAAAACAGATTAAACTCATTCTTGAGAGAGTAATCGTAGGAAGACAAAGATATTCTAACATGTGTAATTGGTGACAGGAAGCACTTGACAATAAAACATATCCTGATTAAGTTAGTGAACTTGAAGAATGAAAAAAGAATTCTTCATTCAGGCAGAAAAAGCAAGTCACCAAAGGGTCTCTAACTTCTCTACCTCAAGATTCAGTGACAGGAGACGATGGGGGAATGCATCCAAAGTCGTGAGTATGAAAACAGTGGCTTCCGTGTATTACCAGCAGCCAAGTCGTCAACAGAATGTCGGGCACTCTTCAGCATGCGAGGACTCTGGGAATACCACACCCACGGGCCCTTAAGAAAACCATTTGGTAGGAGAGATGAATCAAATAACTCGATGACGGAGGAGCTAGTGGTGAGCACTGAATTTATATGAAGAACCAAGACCAAACTGGGAATTAGAGTCATATGATAGATATACATGACAAATATAAACCTTTATAATGTGACTAATAAATTGGGAGTGAGGGAATCTTATTTTGTGGTAACCTTTTTTGAAAAAATAAAATTCAGTGGAGTTTTAAAGAAATATCTGTTAGGATAAAGAAATATTTAAAGTTTAATAATCGTTTCAGTTCAGTTTCTTAAATACAAGCAAATTAGCTGAATGCTATTTTTTAAAAAAATGTGATTAGAAATAAATATGATACAAGTAAGTATGAGTATATTTTTAAAAATCTATCCTTTTATCTGTATCTGAAAAAAAAGTCAGAAATGATGTTTACCTAGTTAGTGATGGTTATTTTTAAGTGAGTATTGATTTTATTTTACTCTTTTCTTTGTATGTTACTATATTGATTGACTTGTTTGATGACCATTCTATCTTTATTTTTAAATGGAGTTGGATTTTTTCAAAAACAAGGTTAAAAAGCCTTGTATAGTGTAGGTGGTCCCCTGGCATATGCTGTTGCTTGTAATGACAGTTGCTTTATAACTCCTAGCAAGGTACTTACATTTTTTAACTTAATCTCACCACACTTCCTTTTTTTCCACTGGTTATTTTTCACTCAACAACTTCTATTCCTTTACCCACACAAAGATATTACTCATATCCCATTTTATAGAACTCATAAGTGTTGGATTCTTTTATGGCTAAAAACGGAACACCAGTATGGAACCCAGTGACTTGCCCAGTACATCTGAAACAAATGAAAAAGTGGAAAAAAGAAGCCATTCGGACTGGCTGACAGTCGTCTTACGAGAGGAAGCCAGAAGGACTCAGCAACAAGGGGATTTTGCACATGAACTGGCTGGAGTCCATCTGAGGAGCTGAAAGGTTTCTTTCTTTGTGCTTCTGTAAGTTTGGAAATGAAATGTCAACGCTTTCTCTGCCCAAGTGAAATTGCAGGGCGATAGAGCTGTAGTTCGGTATTAGCTAATGCTATTCAAACCCAGCTGCCAGCAGCAGCAAACTAATCAGTAAGCATTTCAGGACCATTCAGCATTGTTTGTGGAAGCCTGTGGAAGCCCTGGATTCTATTGTGACATGTGAGAGCAACTCAGGACCCTCTCTCCCTCTTTGTCACACAGAGTTTTATAAAATCCCAAGTCCTAGACTTAATCCTAGACTTAACCAGCTTGCGGAGCTGAAAGACTCCTTCATATGTCATGGGAGTCATAATAGCCACCCCAAAAGGTTGTTAGAAGGATCAAAACAGGAATCGAGCATACTGTGCATGGCATGGCGTCTGGCACGGGGTAAGAATTCCCAAACTGGTGGCAATGGGGATATTAACAGTTGTTACCATTTTAGAGGGAAGTGTAGCTCCACCATGCCTGGTCTCTTCCTGGCTAAGTAAGCCTTTTATTTATTTGGGCCACTTGTCCCCTTAGGGCAGGTTCCCCCCTCTGCACTGAATGTCTTGCCACCTTCACGGAGACCTTCACCTCATCATGTCCCCATGAGACACTTCCCTTCCCCTTTCTTGCCTGAGCCCTGGAGCCAGCTGTGATACTTCACAGCCGTCTCACAGTTGGAAGATTCTAGAAGAATGGCTAACTGATTCCAGAAGAATGGCTAACTGAGTGTTAGGGTGGACCTGACACTCTCCGTAGGCCCCTCCCCCCCCGCTCACTTCAGAAGACAGCTAATAAGTTTTTCTGCCCTGATCTCTCCCCTTGTTTTGGAACACACTAGTTTCTTTGAGTGACTGCCCCTTTGCCACGCTGAGCTCTGGCTGGGCTGCCAGTCACGGAGCCCAACCCTCTGGCCACAGCAGTCGGCATGTGATCCAGAGCTGGCCCATCCTAAGACTTCCCTGGGACTGTATATTTGGACACTGGGAGAGTGTATCTCTGTTATGAACCTCATGTTCGTGTCCCCCCAAAATTTATATGTTGAAATTCTAACCCCCAATGGGATGATGTTTGCAGATGAGGTCTTTTGGAGGTAATTAGAA